CTATATATATGCTATAAATTAACAGCATGTGTGACATATCTAGCGTAAAACATTTGCGATACCTTTCTTTATCGACGGAATATAACCTCTCAAATAACCTACTAGTGCTCTGCCATAATTTGTAGAAACAAACAACCTATAAAACCTTGCAATATGAGATAACAAGTTATATTCATATTCTGTTAATTATTAACTTTGAGAATTTGAATGAAACTTAATTGTTCTATAATGTCATTAGATGTTCTGTGAACGAAATGGAGCTGAAATACTTCGTTCGCAGAGCATTCTATTCCCTGTACTTTTGAGATGTACAATGTTGTTACGGCATATGGGGCCCAGACAATCACTTTCAGAAGTTGTTGGGACACATGTAGTTTTGGCTTGTAACTTGTAAGTGGATCATTATAGTTTTTTACACATAGTACCGCTGCCCTCCCCCTCCCTCCACCCCAATCAATGTTTTGTAAACCAAAACACATCAAACCCGACGAGAAATGGGACACAACATTGAACAGGGGGCGGGTGGGATTGTAGTTTGTTGATATTCAAAGTTTTTGTGGCATCTGTCCCAAGACTTTTGAAACTGATTGTCTGAAAGGCAATGAAAAGCATATTTAACCTTTTTGAATTACCGAATGTTTTAGAATATCAGTTTTGCGAAAATCGTATAGCATTTAGTTGAACATATTTACTGAATTGCACTGGCATATATAATGCTTTTATATTGCGCTTATTGTGGTTACTATATTTGAAATGTAACATAATCCAGCAGACGGAACAGCATATTATAAATGAGCTTATAAAAAGATGTGATATGTGGGGAGGGACGTATGCTGAGAGATTAAACCTGCTCTATATGCAAGGGATAAAACACATCTATCTGGTTAATTATCAACCTAGGTTATTGCTGAATAAAATGCAAGGGTAAGTTATCGAAAACCACTTAAAGATTGTGCATATTTGACATGAAAATATTTATGTAATATAAAATGGTTTTAACACGTGCTCGATTGTCACTCGGTTGTCACTTTGAAACGCATAGCATTTTCATTGATATAACTTTCAATTGTCGCGGGATAATAATTTTCAGAATATTAAGTACTAAGCAGAAGTGTTTAGGAAGCGCATATTGATATATTACTGGTTCTACTTAATCACAAAGTATATAAATTGTATAAAATGTATCGATTGACACTCAACTCTAGAAATATCACTATGATATATCAGATTTATTTATGTAAAAAAGTGTCAGTCGATCCAAAACTTGGCTTAATCAATTTCAAACCCTTTCATTAATAGCAAATACATTGTTAGACATTCTCAACAAATTATTCTTAGCCTTGTTCTGATTTAAAAGCTGCCTAGTTGCCCATTATTTCATATTTCTATAGTGACAATCGAAGTGACAGCCGATGTTAGTTTCATTGCATTCGTCTGGTCCGGAAACGCATATTAGCATAATTAGCGTGTAACACTAACTTTGTGTTGTATAATGCGTACAACGCCGTACACTGCCAGTCCCTTTCGTTACATATTTTTGGAAGCCTGTGCAACTTTCTTGCTTCGGCGGGTCGCGCGCGCTAGTACTTACTGACGCGTCAGCATTAGGGAGGTCTATAAGCCCTGGAGAAATCACGAAGTCCGGATCATTCTTTACCACGTACGAATACGCTGAATAGTAATTTTTGGGATTGTCTGACCGAGTTCAATTAAATGTCGCATTTACTCTTCTCGAGCTTTCCGATAGCTCGCCGACTTGATCTCGTGGACAATTTTTTAGCCATGTGTAAGTGACTATATATACCGCCCTTTTCATGAGCCTCCGAAATTCCCACCCACTGAGTGCTCCTTCGTACCCATGCGTCGACAATTATATCTGCAAATTCTGCTCTAGAAAGATGTGAAATGTCACATTGACTATTGGTGATAAAAATCAAACGTTCTTTACCTTCGGAGTACCCGAATTAGCAGTTGACTCAGGCCTTACCCGCATGCGAAAGTAACCGGATGTTATATTACTATGCTATAAATTAACAGTATGTGTGACATATCTAGTCTAAAACATTTGCGATACCTGTCTTTATTGACGGACTATAACCTCTCAAATAACCTACTAGTGCTCTGCCAAAATTTGTAGAAGCAAACAACGTATAAATCCTTTGTGATTAAGAATGCATTATGATATAACAATTATATTCATATTCTGTTAATTATTAACTTTGAGAATTTTAATGAAACTTAATTGTTCTATAATGTCATTAGATGTTCTGTGAACGAAATGGAGCCGAAATACTTCGTTCGCAGAGCATTCTATTCCCTGTACTTTTGAGATGTACAATGATGTTATGGCATATGGGGCCCAGACAATCACTTTCAGAAGTTGTTGGGACATATGTAGTTTTAGCTTGTAAGTGGATCATTATAGTTTTTTACACACAATACCGCTCCCCTCCCCCTCCCCCCACCCCAATCAATGTTGTTTAAACCAAAACACATCAAACCCGACGAGAAATGGGACACAACATTGAACA